CACACGTGCCCCCAACCAGTCCTTAGCCACTTGAGCCCCTTCTACTTGTTGCTCAATTAGATTGTGCTTTTGACCTATTTGTGGGTCCGGCTGGCTGGCAAGTCTCCCCCACTATGCTTTTGACCTATAAAATCATATAATTAGCTAAAAAATTATATTAACTAATTAAAAACTATTTTTTCTTAATTTAACATAAATAAAAATCTATTTCTCATGAGTTAAGGCTTAAAATATATAGTTAATTAATTATTAACTCATGATAATGAAGACTTATCAATAAGCTAGTGAAATTATTTCATAATAATGCACATGCTATTGACTCATGTTAATTGAGCATGATGATTCAAATACCTCAAAAAATCTGTCTACTAATTTAATTAATAAAGTGTAATCAATTGATTCAAAAATTTAAAGCATGCTAAACTTGGTGTGTAAATCTTAAAAGTACTCAACTAAAGTAATGTAGAGGCGGGAAGGGGGAGGGCAAACAAACTTAATTGTAAAATCTACTTAATTAAGCTTTACAATTCAGGTGGTTGTAATCTACATTATTACTAATTATTGTGGTTTGCATCTATCTTTTTAGATGTGCCTTTTCATTACCTATTCCAATTTATTACCTCTATTCAAACTATTCAAGTGAATACAATTAGGTACTAAACTATTCAAATGGCTATAATTTTCATTACCTCTTCCAATTTATTTTTATATAGAATATTATTTATTCAAAATAAATTTCATATTCATGACAAGAAAGAGATGATTTTTGAGGGGTTTGACCCCTAGCCTACATTCATTGCCTTGAGCCTCCACACCTTAGGTTTCCAATGATGTTCCCTAAAACTTACATGTAGTTACTCACTAACCTTGGAGATAGATAGTTATTGGCATTGTCAAATTTTTATCTTTCTCATGTAACAACAACTAAATTACTTTAGGGAAATCACTCATCTATTTCCTTCTTTGTCTTGATATAGACATCCTCTTAGAGTGCTGTCACTCCTCTACTAAGTTTCTCTATTTTTCATACAAAACAACCTATCATTATGTTGTGACTAGTAGGTTCCTAGCTCCAACCAACCAACTAGTTCAATTTATTGTCAACCCTAACTGCCAACGCACTGTGAAGTTCAAGTCAATTCACCACTAATTTGTGAGATCAAAGATACAAGCATAAACAAACAAATTATCCAATGTTACCACTTAAATTGAATTTTCTCGTATTACCTTAATGTGGGTTTCCACTAATCTTCTACGAAATATTACATTTAGGTAATCATAGCTGTATGAACCAAACAACCTTTTAGGTTATCATCCAATCTAGTTCTCACAAGAGTAGGAAATAAACTACTTTCAAAGTAATCAATCAACTAATAGTTTTATTAACTCCAGCCCACCAAAGAGAAATCAAGGTTTTTGTCAATCATCCACTAGGTTTATTTCCTCCAGCCTAATATATAGTAATCATGGCATTATCAAACGTTCATTTAATTTACTAAATCAAGTCAACCAAACAACTCGAGGTGGTATTGAACTATGAGTGTAAATGAACTTCAAGTTTAAGCCCATGACACCACTAATTGGTAGGGTTTACAATTTAAAAATATAAGCAATTAATGCATTGAATGTATCCACTTTGGTTCCTTTGATATGTGACTGCCTGATTTTGATTCAAATCAGAGTTTTTCATAGTTTTAAAAAATAACACATAAATGTTCAACATGAGATGAACGTATCATCACAACCAAAAAGTTGAACCCACTTCCTTTAGGAGGCTCACACCAGGTATTTCGTTATGCAAGATGGGTGTTATATTATATTAATTTCATATTAATGAGAAAATATAATTCCTTAAAAATGAGTCAAGAACAATAAATTCATGGTTTTTATGATTTTTATTCAATTCAAAACATACTCAACATTTGTTGGAGGGTACTTTGAAAGCATTGAGAGCTCGAGACAAAGGATTATTAAGAACTAGTATTTGAAATCATAAAACCTTTTAGCATACTGAAAGTAAACATGCTATTATTTTTTGAAAACTTGGACCATCTAGTACAAAATATCATATCCCTCTTTCTATTTTTGTTTCATCATTTATTATTATAAGGAATTGAAACCTTTTTTCCAACCCTAAGAGTAACAATTAAATTTATGATTTATTATCAATCTTATTAATGTTGACTCATATATTCTAAGTTTTTCTTTACACCACACATGTGGAACCCAAGGATGTAGGTGTCATCATGGGAGGCATAAATGTCAAACTCTAGAATATAGGTGCCCAGCTCTAAGGATTTTGTTCCATGATTTATTATAGCAATTGACCCATGTCCTTTGAAATGTTGAACCTTGAAACATATTGTTATGTACTTTGATATAGTTACTAACCTAATAAATTGACACTTCCTATTAAATTAAGAATGTTAGTATGATTATCTATTATTCTCATTAAAATGGCACCAAAAATATTTAATACTTACCAAGAACATTAAAAAATGTAAAATGAAAGATTAACTCACTATCAAATGAGATTTGACAAATCTCAAGTGTAGTCTTCAACAACCAAGATATTTTTGTTCCATGAAGGCTCCAATCATAATAAAAGCTTTAAGGCACGGTTAGGGTTCCAAAGAACTTTTTTTTGACTTCAGATGAGTGTGGAAACTGTTCAATTTAACATCAAGTGATGTTTAGAATACCACCAAATTATTTTAATGCACAAAAAATAAACTGACCATCATCCTTGGTCTGAAACAAGTAAAACTTCATCATTTCTTCATCAAATTTTATTAAGGTGATTCATCATTAAATTCTCACAAAGTATGAACGACTAAAAAATATAAATTGAAGCCAATCATAATTATTTAATAATAAATTTAGTTATCAAATTATTAGTAATATGATTACTTATTTAATGACCATAAACTTATTTTAAGAACAACAACAATCTATAATAATTTCATTCAAATGTGTCAGAATAATGATCCAAAGGAGAGGGCATGCTTGAACTCGAACATTTTTTGTACTATCTTTTAAGAGATGGACCAAGTACCTGTGAATAAGACTTTGTTAATCACTTAGTTTCATACCTAAGTTAGTTGAATGACCAGTTCACTAATATTTATATAAATATTATTCACTAAAAAATAAATCATGGAAATTAACTCTTGTTTCACAGCATTAAGATACCAATACTATATTTGAAGGTACTTTGAAACCTTTCCATGAAGTTTCCAAGGAGCAAGAATCTTCCCCACTAATAGTACAGTATTATGAAGTCTACTAAAGTCTTGAATCCATTTTTCCTTTTCTTATAGTAGTTTTCTAACCTAAAAAGCTTTAGTCCAACCAAAGTACACAAAAATAAAAAACCGTAGAAAATCTTGAGCAATCAAATAATACTTCAATTTTCTAAATTTGAATCATTATATGAAGCTTGAATGTTGAGGTGAAGTGATAAATGAATCTTCTATAATATTGAAAATATTATCATATTTTTGTATTTTATTTAATTGAAAAGGCATTATGCTGATTGCTTGATAGCAATTCATTGTGAGAATCAATTGGCTAGGTTTCAAAGAAAAGTTTCAGAATGTTCCCAATAATTAGATTTTATACCTCTGGGTAATTTATGAATTGTAAATCACTAGTTGAGTTTCAACAAATTATGCACTATTGACTTGAAAAAATCATTTGGGTGGACATTTTTACTATTCAAAAATGACCATTGACCTTTTATTTATTTCATCACCATTCACACACCACAAAAGATCATCTCTTATATAACCAGTTATGTCGTCAATGATATAATAATTTAATGATTCTCTATTACATTTAAAAAATACTTTCTAGGCCTCATCAAGACATCTTTGACTGAATGTAAATATTTTGAAGAAGAAAATATCTCAAAATAAATTGGAAGGCCAACGACATTTCATTTAATTATAGAGATATTAAGAGTTATTTTTAAACACAGAAGTTTTATTATTTGTAAATATGGTTGATAGTCACGAAAGTGCTGGACTGAACAATCTGTGGTCTTTGAGTGACTGGAAAACCTATGAGATCCAAAAGATGTACTCGAATAATTTGTGAAAAGAAATATAATAAAATAATCATATTATGCATATACAAGCTAGAAAAAGACTTAATATTGTAGAAAATTTTCCCTATGACACAGTTAGCGAGACCAATATGGGCATGGGTTCACCGGAGTCCCAACATAGCCCACCAACTATGCGGACTTGGCTGTGGCCTGAAAGTTTCTCTTGGCCAGGGTTTCCCAAGGAAAAAAGTTTGGTACCCTTTTTTAAAATATGTAGCATAACACTAGAATAACTGAATGAGGCTGCAGTTTGTTAATCAATTATAACTCAACAAAGGGGGATATCTAAGTTCATCCAAGATAACTCGGCCATGCAAGTTTGAGAAACTTGGCTGGCTGAGCGAGTATGCATCCCGATTTGGGCAAACTCTCCATGTCGCATAACTTGTTTGATCAAAAGGGTCAAAATCCGTGGGAACCCAGCCCGATCACGAATTTCATCTTAGTCGATTAACCGAAAATTGACTTACTTACCTTAGGTTTACTTATGAAATAAAAAAGGATGTGATCATACAAGAAGGCAGATAAACTACCATTGAGAGGGAGAGAGAGGGAGAGGGAGAGAGAGAGAGAGAGAGAGAGGTGATGAATACTGTTTATTTAATAAGTCTTACAAACGGGATCATTTGGAACAAAAGGAACCGGGCCATCTGGCGACACAATGCACACGAGGCCAAATTGAGTCCAGTAACACGTTATTCTACAGAAACTTATGAACTGATGGTAAAATCGAACATTTCTGGTCACGTGCAGTCTTTCCACTCGTCTTCCTCCCGGCCCAGCGGCTGCCTGGTACTGGATCAAATCCAGAGTACCCTGCATCATGGGGTAGGGACGACTTCGGCTCTTATTTCACTGCCGTTGGCCATAAATGACCAGAGTAGGGCCATCATCAGTACTTGGGAGGGGGTGGAGGGGGGGACTTGTAATAGTAGTGCTCCTTGGGTGGAGGGGGCGGTGGCGGGGACTTGTAGTAGTAGTGCTTCTTCGGAGGAGGCGGTGGCGGGGACTTGTAGATGTAGTGCTCCTTGGGAGGAGGGGGCGGTGGCGGGGACTTGTAGTAGTAGTGCTTCTTCGGAGGAGGCGGTGGCGGGGACTTGTAGATGTAGTGCTCCTTGGGAGGAGGGGGCGGTGGCGGGGACTTGTAGTAGTAGTGCTTCTTCGGAGGCGGCGGTGGCGGGGACTTGTAGTAGTAGTGCTTCTTGGGAGGAGGGGGTGGTGGTGGGGACTTGTAGTAGTAGTGCTTCTTTGGAGGAGGGGACTTGTAGACGTAGTGCTCCTTGGGAGGAGGGGGCGGCGGTGGGGACTTGTAGTAGTAGTGCTTCTTCGGAGGTGGTGGCGGGGACTTGTAGTAGTAGTGCTTCTTGGGAGGAGGGGGTGGTGGTGGGGACTTGTAGTAGTAGTGCTTCTTCGGAGGAGGCGGTGGCGGGGATTTGTAGATGTAGTGCTCCTTGGGAGGAGGAGGCGGTGGCGGGGACTTGTAGTAGTAGTGCTTCTTCGGAGGAGGTGGTGGCGGGGACTTGTATACGTAGTGCTTCTTGGGAGGAGGGGGTGGTGGTGGGGACTTGTAGTAGTAGTGTTTCTTCGGAGGAGGCGGTGGCGGGGACTTGTAGACGTAGTGCTCCTTGGGAGGAGGAGGAGGTGGCGGGGACTTGTAATAGTAGTGCTTCTTTGGAGGAGGGGGCGGTGGCGGGGACTTGTAGTAGTAGTGCTTCTTCGGAGGAGGAGGCGGTGGCGGGGACTTGTAGTAGTAGTGGTCCTTCGGAGGAGGAGGCGGTGGAGACTTGTAAACGTAAGGCGGTGGAGAAGGGGACGGATAATTCTCAGCAGAGATCACCACCATACCGCTCACAGCCAAGAAAAAGCCCAGGACTGCCGCCATGGGCGTCATCGCTACCCGACCCCTTGGAGGGGTCGCCAAACCTTATGAACCTAACCTCCTCCGCCCTACACTTCCACCGCTGGCTCTCTGCCGAGCTTGGGTGTTTGATACTGAGAACCAGCGGGCAGCACCCCAATTTATAGGAGACGAGGGACGGTGGAGAACGCGTTATGGGCGCCTCCTTGATCCGAAGGACAGATGAAAGAAGTAAGACAAGATATTCTTTTATTTTTGTGTGAATCGGTCTGAGGGCCTTGTCGCTGTCGAGGGTCTCGTGGCCCACGCCTGACTTATTCCTGTTTGTGGCCATGTTCCATCACGGTGGCTGAAGGTTTCAAATTTTCCACCCTCCGTCGATGTCCCCATCGAGACAGAAGCGTTGGCTGCAAGCGGAAACACCCGGAGCTCTCCCGTTTCTTACCCCTTCCCAGGGTCATTCCGGGATGCACACACGCACACCCCCTCCCCCCCCCCTCATGTCGCGCTCACCTAGGCGGAGTTACCGTGACCTCCCCTGTTTCATACCCTTTTCGGGAGTCATTCCGGGACTCACGAACGCACCCCCCTCCCCCCCTTATGTCGCTTTCGTCTAGAACGAGTTGGTAAAACATAAAATAGGCACCTTCATTGGTGACATATTATCATCGCTCTGTCTCTCTCTTTCTGTCTCCATCGCATAGGCGGAGTTGTTAAACGCGTAAAGGAAAATGGACTTCTTCGTTGGTGCCATATTGTTATCAAAGTTTTCCGACGACTAAGTCGCCATTTTTCATCTCTCTTCTTCTCATTGGCAGATTAGGTGACGACGGAGTCGGATTTTAGCTCATTCATGGGTAACTAATTTATCTAAAGTCTTCCGTTGATGAAGTCCGATTTTGCCTCTCCCTCTCTCTCTTTCTTCCACTCTGTCTAACCTATCTATCCATCTCTGTCAGTTGGAGGCAGAGTTCGTGAAGGCGTATTGGAAGTTAGAAATTTCACTGGCGACGCATTCACCTTCTCTCAAGGGGCCCAGGTACGAATTGGGCATCTTGCTATGCTTCGTTCTTCTTTACGTGTTTTCTCCACCTACTTCACCATGATTGCCCAGAGCAATGACAGTTGGTGAGCCCCGAGGGTGATGACATCACGACTCGGTCTGCCATGGACCGGGCCGGCCAGGGCACCGCTAGATTCCTCCCGCGAGAGAGAGAGAGAGAGAGAGAGAGAGAGAGAGAGAGGCTTATCACAAAGTTGGTACTAGGACAAACGCGACAGAAGAAAATACGCGTTGAATCTGTCATTAGACCAGCCGAGGAGCTGTGTGGCCATCGAGGCCGAGCTGGGATTTAGACTCACCCGGGTCACTGAGGACTCCTAATTAGGATCAAGTTATAGTGAAGGATGAAATAAATTGGGTGGGCAAGTATTCAACCCCCCAGGAGAACTAACTTAAATCATCAGTTGGAGATTAATTTTGTTTTAGAAGACTTGAAAGCCATCCAGTTGTAAATAGTCCATCCATTGTTGTACATAGTGTACAACTGGATTTATATATTTAGTTAGTTTAATTAACTTGGTATTTAAGAATATGTGTTCATTTAAAAGAGTGTACCCTCCACCTGCTTCCCACCGCTTGATCACTACAGCTCTACTGATTAATACTTTGGTTCTTCATCTCGCCATCCGCCTGGCGGTGGCGGATGGGTATTACAGTTTCAGTCGCGAGGGCAGTCAGAAATACCTGCGGCGAAGATGATACAATTCTCGAGAGCATTTTGGGTGGGTATTACAGTTCCGTGCGAATAGAAGACTGCCGATCCCAATTCGAATCGACTGATTCTGCATATCGTTCTTGTGTGACTGATCTAGCTATGTTAAACTTCTTTTTCCTCTTCTTCTTCTTCCTCTGCGAATAGTAATTGAAGGGGGAAATGATAGCTATACGCCCCCTATGCCTCATGCACACCGTTTCCCTCTCCCATTCTCCTTCGAACGCCGAACCTTACCTTCAACGACTGTGTATCGTCACTCTCTCTCTCTCTCTCTCTCTCTCTCTCTCTCTCTCTCTCTGTGCCATCCCCCCCTCCTGATTCCCGAACTGTCGTCATTCCTAGACGGCTCCTAACCCTCGTCGTCATCGGGCTCTTTACCGGCTCTAGTGTCGTATCTCTCGCCGTTCTCTAAGAAAATTAAATTTGAGGCAGCCCACGCTATTTTGTTGAACTCAAGTTGAGTTGACCGGATAGGGAACTAAACAAAGATTTATAAGAGGCATGGCCAAACTTCAAGCTTATCATGTCTCTTGACACCCTCAGATACTTGTTACATAAAATTTTAGAAAAAGATGTATGCTAAGTATTCTTAATGATAGAGATTTCAGACTTTCTGGTTTATCATTCGGCTCTTGTCAAGCCTTTATGTACGCCCTGACCAGACAAACCAAGACCCGGGTTTAGTCCTGTTGCGGTGTAGAGAGTTATTATTCTCCGCTATCAGTCATAACTTATGAGAACTTGCGCACCGAGCCTTATACAAAAACTACCTAGCGGAAAATTTAATCTACGTCAGAAAAATACTAGTCTTCGTTTGCCTGATCTTCGATGTTAACCCAACCAGTCTGCACTGTGGCACCATCCACACACACATGTATAGAGAGAGAGAGAGAGAGAGGAAGAGAGAGAGAAGGGGGGGTGTTACCCGAAAGGAGCTATTTTATTGATTGAACATTGGAGGAGAAAGTTGAAAGTGACACTCCTGGAGAACTGACGCGCAAATGGCCAAATGAGTGCAGCAACACGTTATGATACAGAAATTTGAGAAGTGATGAAGGGAAAATGATGCGTCAAGGGCTTCCCACACGCCTTCCCCTTCTCCCTGCGCCAGCTTGTGCCTAGTTCTATTAGACTCCAGATAGTGACCACAACATGGAGAGGGGATAACGGGTAAGCTTTCATGCTCTTATTACACTGTTGGAGGCGGGAGATAATCGTCCGTTGCGTAGTTAATAGTAGGGTGGTGGTGGGGGGGAAGAGTAGACGTACTTGGGTGGTGGGGGGGAAGAGTAGACGTACTTGGGTGGTGGGGGAGGAGACTTGTAATAGTAGGACGGATGTGGTGGGGGAGGAGACTTGTAGTAGTATGACGGATGTGGTGGGGGAGGAGACTTGTAGTAGTATGACGGATGAGGTGGCGGAGACTTGTAGTAGTAAGATGGATGGGGTGGCGGAGGAGATTTGTAGTGGTAGGACGGATGAGGTGGCGGAGGAGACTTGTAGTAATAGGACGGATGTGGTGGGGGAGGAGACTTGTAGTAGTAGGACGGATGAGGTGGCGGAGGAGACTTGTAGTTGTAAGATGGATGGGGTGGCGGAGGAGATTTGTAGTAGTAAGGAGGGTGTGGTTTTGGAGTAGGCTTGTAGTAGTGAGGAGGATGTGGTTTTGGAGTATGCTTGTACCAGTAAGGAGGTTGTGGTGATGGAGGCGGCTTGTACCAGTAAGGAGGTTGTGGTGATGGAGGAGGCTTGTACCAGTAAGAAGGATGTGGTGGCGGAGGAGACTTGTAGTAGTAGGGCTTCTTCGGAGGTGACACGGGAGGCTTGTAGTAAGGAGTCTCCGGCGACTTGTAGTAGGGCGGCGAAACCGGAGGCTTGTAGTACGGTGTGTCCGGCGACTTGTAGTAGGGCGGTGAAACGGGAGGCTTGTAGTAAGGAGTGTCCGGCGACTTGTAGTAGGGCGGTGAAACGGGAGGCTTGTGGTAAGGAGTCTCTGGCGACTTGTAATAGGGCGGTGAAACCGGAGGCTTGTAGTAAGGAGTCTCAGGCGACTTGTAGTAGGGAGGTGAAACCGGAGGCTTGTAGTAAGGAGTCTTTGGGGACTTGTAGTAGGGCGGTGTCACGGGAGGCTTGTAGTAAGGAGTGTCTGGCGACTTGTAGTAGGGCGGTGAAACGGGAGGCTTGTAGTAAGGAGTGTCTGGCGACTTGTAGTAGGGCGGTGAAACGGGAGGCTTGTAGTAAGGAGTGTCTGGCGACTTGTAGTAGGGAAGCGGTGAAACTGGAGGCTTGTAAGGAGCCCCGGCGACTTGTAGCAGGGAGGTGAAACAGGAGGGGTTTGTAGTAAGGAGTCTCTTGGCGACTTGTGCAGGGCTGCTCGAGGCTTCAGGTAAGGAGTCTCCGGCGACCTAGGTAGGGCGGTGAAACTGGAGGCTTGTAGTAAGGGAGTGTGTGGCGACTTTGCAGTAGGGAGGTGAAACAGGAGGCCAGGCGGAGGCCTGGCGACTCTGCAGGGCGGCGGGAAACGGGAGGCTTTTGTAGTAAGGAGCATCCGGCGACTTGTAATAGGGCGGTGAAAACCGGAGGTTTGTGTAAGGAGTCTCAGGCGACTTGTGCAGGGAGGCGGGGAAACTGGAGGCTTGTAGTAAGGAGTCTTTGGGACTTGTAGTAGGGCGGTGTCACGGAGGTTTTAGAAAGGAGTGTCTGGCGACTTGTAGTGCAGGGCGGTAGAACGGGAGGCTTGTAGTGGCGAGTCTCCGGCGACTTGTAGCAGGGGAGGCAGTGAAACGGGAGGCTTGTAGTGCAAGGAGTCTCCGGAGACTTGTAGTGGGGGCGGCGAAACCGGAGGCTTCAGTAAGGAGTCTCCGGCGACTCTGTAGTAGGGCGGTGAAACGGAGGCTTCAGGAAGGAGCAACCGGCGACTTGTGCAGGGCGGCAGTGAAACGGGAGGCTTGTAGTAAAGGAGCATCCGGCGACTCTTGCAGGGCGGTGAAACGGAGGCTTGTGCAAGGAGTCTCCAGGCGACTCAGGTAGGGGAGGTGAAACCGGATGCTTGTAGTAGGGAGTGTCTGGCGACTTGTAGTAGGGCGGTGAAACGGGAGGCTTGTAGTAAGGAGTCTCAGGCGACTTGTAGTAGGGAGGTGAAACCGGAGGCTTGTAGTAAGGAGTCTCAGGCGACTTGTAGTAGGGAGGTGAAACCGGAGGCTTGTAGTAAGGAGTCTTTGGCGACTTGTAGTAGGGAGTGTCTGGCGACTTGTAGTAGGGCGGTGAAACGGGAGGCTTGTAGTAAGGAGTCTCCGGCGACTTGTAATAGGGCGGTGAAACCGGAGGCTTGTAGTAAGGAGTCTCAGGCGACTTGTAGTAGGGAGGTGAAACCGGAGGCTTGTAGTAAGGAGTCTTTGGGGACTTGTAGTAGGGCGGTGAAACGGGAGGCTTGTAGTAAGGAGTCTCCGGCGACTTGTAGTAGGGCGGTGAAACGGGAGGCTTGTAGTAAGGAGTCTCCGGCGACTTGTAGTAGGGCGGTGAAACGGGAGGCTTGTAGTAAGGAGTCTCCGGCGACTTGTAGTAGGGCGGTGAAACGGGAGGCTTGTAGTAAGGAGTCTCCGGCGACTTGTAGTAGGGAGGTGACACGGGAGGTTTGTAGTGAGGAGTATCCGGCGACTTATAGTAGGGCGGTGAAACGGGAGGCTTGTAGTAAGGAGTCTCCGGCGACTTGTAGTAGGGAGGTGAAACGGGAGGCTTGTAGTAAGGAGTCTCCGGCGACTTGTAGTAGGGAGGTGACACGGGAGGTTTGTAGTGAGGAGTGTCCGGCGACTTATAGTAGGGCGGTGAAACGGGAGGCTTGTAGTAAGGAGTCTCCGGCGACTTGTAGTAGGGAGGTGAAACGGGAGGCTTGTAGTAAGGAGTCTCCGGCGACTTGTAGTAGGGAGGTGACACGGGAGGTTTGTAGTGAGGAGTATCCGGCGACTTGTAGTAGGGCGGTGAAACGGGAGGCTTGTAGTAAGGAGTGTCCGGAGACTTGTAGTACGGCGGCGGCGGAGAAGCGTAGACGTACTTCTCACCGGTGGCAGAAGCCACATTCGCCATTGCCATGAAAACCACCACGGCGGTGGCCATGGCCATTGACAGACAACCCCCCGAGGGGCCGCTGGACAGCGCCACCATCACCCACGGGGAACTCCAACGCCACCCCACAAGTTCCCGACCTGCTACGCACTGCCGAGCTGGTTGCTCGATGCCAGTAACCTCACGGATACCACCCTAATTTATAGTGCGAGAGGGTGGCGGAGGACTGGGATCTGGTCACCTGTCCCATCGAACCCATGAACAATGAAGTGACAAAACTAGAAACACTTCACTCCACGTTCGGGTGGTCCTCGCGGAAAGTCGTCACCCCGAAAACGGGCATCCATAGCCCCTCGGCCTTCCGCTTCTCCTTGACGCCACGTTTCAAGGGATTGCTGGAGACCCCTGAAGGTGGCTCCCACCTTCAGTGACGTGCCCTTTCAGTCCCATGCAGCCAACCAGTGAGAGAGCGTCGACCTTCGCGGAGACGCCAAGCTGGCGCCGCTTCTCTCTGTCTCTCTGTCTCTCTCTCCGCGGCTAAAAAACCAGTCTAACGTAACGCTTGGCGTTAGAAGAAGATTTCCCGAAATTGTGCAGCTCTACCTCGCAAGCCAAGCTACTTCCACGACGGCAGGTCTCCTCTCTAACTGTAGTTGCTGTAACACCGTAGCCCATCTGGCTCTCCACTGTTCTGAAATCTCACTCGAGTTGTAAATTCGGGGGACCCCCTCGCCAGGGGGAGTTGTTGAAGAGTTTTATTAGAATTCAGAGCTCCATTTGGTTCATCATTCAAGATCTCCGAAGCTCTTCTGAAAAGCAGATGGTGGATCCCGCTTTCTCTATTGGTATACCAACTCCAACCTCTCTGCAGACACTATTCATATCACGTCATTGACCAAAGCAAGTAGCGACGGGAGTGGGTAAGAAAGGAGAAAAACAAATGATCAACCTGCCCTTGAATCTAATGCTCTAAATCTAGAAGACGATTTCTTCATACAAATTATTGGGTATCTTCTACCACTTTCGATTAAGCATTTGACTCATGTAATTAATTTTCTTCAATTGGTCTCTGGACAGACCATGTGTCCAATTTATAAAGGTTGAATATTAATGAGTCAGAATTGCCCACCTCTCTGTCTCTCTCTCTCTCTCCCTCCTTCCCCGTGCCGTCTATGGACTTTGATGGGCCAATAAGTTACTATGGAGGTTCTTGCCCAGGTGAAGACTTCCCCGGAAAGAGTATTTCCAAAAGAATATTTGAATTTTCCCTGAGGAGAGGGGGTATCACAGAGGCCAAGCCTTTCCCTATCCAGAGGATACGTCTATTTATCCGACAGATTCCGGCGGTAAAAACGTCGTATTTTTTGTCCGCCTAGGCGTCGTGAGGGGGGCAGCAACAATGGCTTGGTTTCATGCGGGGACTGGGGAAGTAGAGAGAGAGAGAGAAGAAAACGTTGCGATCCCGTGCTCTCTCTCATCCCGCTGCCATGACGCGGCTACCGACACCGTGGAGAGGAGTCGGGCCTCTCTGCCTTTAACCTGATTAGCCCCGACGAACGTCCCTACAGAGAAGAAATACTGCAGCCCGGGCCATCTCTGAGTTTACCAAAATAGAAAAAATTTTCCTCTCTCTACACCCCCCTCCTTGTGATAGAGGAAAGAGTGTGTAAATATGGCAGAGAGAGAGAGAGAGAATCCGAACCATCGATCGAGCATAGATTATTTTCTTCGATTGTACTCTAGGTAAGGTTCCTATTTAACAGTATTTCACGGAATCTGTCCTCTAAAAAACGCACTTTTTTTTTGCCCATATCTAATTAAGAGGAGAAAGAGACGGCCGTCAGAGCGAAGACTTCAAAGGTCGATGGTGACAGTTGTGGTCCACGTGTTCAAAAGATCAGCACGGCTCTCCGCGTGTCCGAAGATGAGCGGCGGCGACTCGACGAGCCCCACGTGCTCCACTAGAACCGGAGGCCGCCGCATCTCAACCTGCCCTCCCCGACAAAAACTGATTCCTCAAATCGTCTTACAAACGTAAGGGACAAACGACGGCTGTTTTCACAAACGGCATGCCTCACAGAATGAAATCCATTAATCAATTTTTCCTATTTTTGTCCTATTATAAAATTTCGATCGGATTGGATCGAAACCTCTCGAGTGAGAGCACCGACGGGATTTCTCTCGAACCAGGCCGTTAAATGCACCGTGAGACCCACAACGAATCAAATGATGAAATAAGTGTGGGTTCAAAACCGGCCGGCCCGACCTCTTGGACCACCTTAAATAGAGAGAGAGAGAGAGATGATCACAGAAAAATAATGTGACCAACTGGCAGAGCCTGGTTTACATTCCGGGCCCGAGATGTGAGAAAAATGCGAAGAATCTACTTCAAATTGAGGAAGAATACGCCAACTTTGGAAGGATTACTGTATTCATGGCGTCAGCACTGTAGAACGTCTTCACGCAATCCAAAAGGCAGCAAAACCTGCGTTTTCTTGTTCTTGTCCGGGAACACGACGAAATCGTTGGTGATCGATCTATCGTCGGCGACAACTGGACTTCCCCGAGTTCTGGTCAAACCCGTGTTGGGAGGTGATACTTTCTTCATATAATTGGGATATATGAAGGAAAAACTACATCGAAGGGGTATTATCTATGGGCGGCTGAGTCTGCAGGTTAGGTGGGATCTATGGTGACATCCAAGCATCCGCTGCACTGACTTAGTCTTCTACAAAACCAGGTTGCCAAACGATGGCGTCAGATGAAAGTGGAAAAAGTCTCCGTGTGATTTTCATAGTTTCTCTCTCTCTCTCTCTCATATAATGAATCATTTTTTTCACTTATCCAAAGACTATCTACCCTTAACAGGCTCCTAATTCTTCCATTGACCATCCACTTTTCTCAGACGCTTTCAACATCTCTCCCTCTCACTCACTATCCATCAATCTTTCTCTCTCATACAACGAATATTTTTTTTAGCCACTCCATTGGCTCTACCAACCCAGTTTTCTTAAGACACTTTCTCTATTCATCCAGTTGGCTGTCACCGCTGCCCATGGTCAACTGTGCCCGGCGGCCAGTGGGCCTCCGAATGGACAGGGCCGAGAAGAGATCTTCAAACGCGGCCACTGGGAACGCGACCGGACTCCGCATTGGAACAGCCTAGAACAGCTGTACTCTGCACCAGGTTCATTATCGCGGCCATTTCAAATCCTAGAAAGTCAGTGGTCAGTGTTGGCTTCCCCTAGTGATCCATTGCGACCTCGCCGGGCGGGATGAGCTGCATTATTGGCGGTCCCAGTGGACCCGTTTCACGTGTCACGAATAGAATATTCTCTTTTTTGATCCCCAGAGCCTTCATGAGTCGAGCTGGGACTACCCGTGAACACATGTCGAAAGAATTACGCCCCTCTTTACCCATAGAGGAAGGACAAACTGAGGGGGAGAAAGCTTCTGGGGGAGGCAATGAGCAGAGTTGGAAGATAAGGAAGAAGGAACGTGGGCTTTAATGATGCTAGGTTCAGATGAGTAGACAGCAGAGGTGGATGGATGCCCACCATCGTACGTCACTCACAGGGTTAGATACATAGATAGATAGATCTAGAGAGAAAGAGAGAGGGGGGGGGGAGGATCGGAGAGAGGTGTCTTAAGTAGGGATATATATGTATATATATATATTATAGATACACAGCTAGATAGATAGATGGATAGATAGATAGATAGCTTCCGTGCTTAGCGACGCAGGAAAGTTAGACACTGTCGATTGAGATGATTGAATTAAAGATAACGACGTCCAACCAACCGAAAGATTACGAACCGAGATCAGTCCATGAGACTTTCGAATGGGAATAGACAGACGGCGAATCCACAATATCTGCCGCGCACAACACTCCACGTTTGATCCTCCATTACAGTCTGCAAGGAAATATGGCTCTCCGGCTCTTCAATCGCTGCCGATTTCAACTCATATTTTGCCAAAAATGTTAAATTTATTCCGGAAAAAAGACGATAATCTTTAATGAAGATTTGGATGCAACCCAAGCGAAAGGCATCCTCGCAGAGCAGGACAGGCATCTTACGAATCACCCTTCCATTTTAGAAACATTCCCACCGTAGCTTATATTTTCTTGGAAAATACGACATTAGTCTTAACTAGAGATTCTAGTGTCCGATGTAAATTTCAGCGGCAATATTTGGTGGAGAAAATTTTGACGCAGCCCTCGCGTCAGAGCTCGCCAAAAGTAGCCTCCTCCTGAAGCAGACTCAATCAATATGCTCTGACATTTTCTTACATCAGTCTCAATGATAGACATTCAATCAGGCATCAGAGCCGGTGGCCGCTTCGCTTATGAGCGCCAACATGATGAGAGCATCTTATAATCGACCGCCGTCATGGTAAACACAAGATTCATCATGATTAATGCATATCCGCAATAAATCAGTGCATGGTATAGTATTCGATAACCGAACATTATTTTAAATCACATCAGACTGTTACTGTGAGTTCAGCCTCAGATTTTCCATCCATCTGCATGGTGTTTCCGGAAAGAGGCAGGTACACCTTGATGGTCTCCTCCACCGGTGCACGTGGCATTTCTCGTCTGGAAGAATGAACCTGTACGACTTTGGCCGGAATCAGACCAGTTTGAACAGAGAGCAGCAGTCTTTCGTTGCGGCTGTCCGAAGGCGTCACATGGACGGAGATCTCCAGAGTGGCTCTAGCTGCGCCCTACACGTGTTGGGTGTCGGCCAAGGCTTCCTATTTTTATCTCACCGACAGGGATCACCCACGCGGCATTGGACACGTGGTTACGACAAGGACCACCGGCTACCGCCTTGGACACCACAACCTGGGTCAACTTAGACGAGGGGCCAACTAGTCTACGCGCAAGATATATTTTCAAGTTTTTTTATAGTTGATTGGCCGATTAGGTAGATCCTTCTTGGAGAATAAATACAATTACCATAAAATACTAACATCACTCGAATATTCCCCTCGATCTAGTACACTTTGTATGCTATTATTTTCACGTCGAGTAAGTAAATGTGGTGGCCCAATTATGGCAATTCGAATTATTTAGAGCATTAGGCGCCGTGTA